ACTTTTCATTTGTCTCCTTTCTAAACTAAAATGCCCCAAATATCACTACCTTTCCTCATCTTTGTCTTATCTTTGTCTGTAAATGCACTTAACATATTTACTTTCCAAACATTAGTAACATCCTTCTTTGTTATTTAGAAAGTTAAAATTCAGAGGCAACTTTGGGGGGGGGGGATATCTCTTGAAGGCTGCATATGATCCTGAGATATGCAACATTCTGCCCAGAATCACATGATAGTGAGATGGGCGGCATATAAAATGAATGAACGAATGAACGAACGAATGAACAAATGAATTCTCAGCTCCTCTTTCTGACCTACTGCTTTGCTCCTGATTTGCTGCCACAAATATATTTTAAAAGGCAGCAAGATTGAGATGAGAGCACATTACAAAAAAAAAATAATAGAAAAGTTTCTTTTCAAAATCAGAACAGATATAGGCTGAGTAAATTTGCCTTAATTTTTGTTGTTTTCATTTTCAGTGAAGTATCACAACTAAAACAGACTTTAATTTCTTTCAAATGTGCTCTCTGTGCTCTCCGTAATTAAAAGCTGCCTAAACCACCAAGTGATTGAGAAAGATGATTCTCTATTTGCACCAAAGAATGGGAGGAAATAGTTAAGAGGAATTTCCCGACAGTGAGAACAACTAATCAATGGAACCGCTTGCCTCCCGGAAACCTGGGTACTCCATCGCTGGAGGTTTTCAAGAAACAAAAAAACTGGACAACCATTTGTCTGCAATAGAATAAGGACTACTACAACTGGCAAGTCCCTCCCAGCCCTAAGATTCTAGGATTCTGTGAACATTTATCAGTATTTGAAGAGATGGTGGTGACTTCCCCTCCTAGATGCTTCCTCTTTTTTCAAGTCAGAGTTTCCTCACCCAGCGAATACTTGGTCTTAGGAAACAGCAGGAAAACCAAGAGGGGATATGCAGCATCTGACATCTGGTCTTGGAGAATAGTTTAAAAGTTGAAGCACAGCAAGAACAAGAATATTTCTCAGCATATACAAAATATAATCTTTTCCTCTAAGAAAACATTACCAATCATGGCAATCTTGGCATTCACAGGAGAAGACAATATAGGTAGTCCTTGACTTATGACCACAATTGGGATCACCACTTCCACTGCTAAGCAAGCCAGTTGTTAAGTGAATCATGCCTGAGTTTACAACCTATTCTGCTATGGTTGTTAAGCAAATCACTGCAGTTGTTAAGTGAATCTGGCTTCCCCCATTGACTCTGCTTGTCAGAAGCTAGGTGGGAAGGTCACACATGGCAATCACATGACCCCAGGACACAACAACCATTGTGAATACACGCCGGGTGCCGAGCGACTAAATTTTGATCACTTTTGGTCTTGACTACTATCCTAGCAGTCCTAAATCTAAACTTCTGAGCCCAGAGTCACCCTAACGTGGTTGCCATTTGCTGAGTCTAAAGACAGTAGAAACTTCTAAATTAGTACTGATTTCAGAAAATTGCATCTACCCAAAAGGCTGAAACATATTTTCACACTTTCAGCAAGCATTGCCAGTTTTTCTGTATCGTATCCTGACTAACACTGATGATGTTACTTAGTTTGGGGAATGAAATGTCTGCTAGAAAACAACCCAGGACCCCTCATTTCAACCCTGAGCTACAAATATTCTCCTTTATTTGTATCATATTGCACATTTATATCATTTGGCACATTTGATCCCAGGCACTAAACTGGAGTTAAGATAGAGCAGAGATAAACATTTTATCTTTTTTCTTTGGCATCTTTCATACGCTTCGATGAGCATCATTTAATTATTTAATGTGTTCACAAAAATATAATTTGTGCAAGGCAATGAGCAGAATAAAACTGGGTAGCCTATTGTACAGAAAACATGGAATGCACCCCCAAAGCTAATATCTTTAAAGGGTTTTCTCTTTTTAAATTTAATTTCCTAGCAAACTGCTTTACATTTCCATATGATTTGGAGGACATAGTAAAGAAATGGAAGTGTATTGATCCTTCAAATCCAAAGCCAATCCCTTCACTCAGTTACACTCATAGGCTCTTCTGATGCTTTTTGACATGGGAAAAGCCTGCCAGAGACAGGCATCTCAGACGCCTCCTTCCAAGGTCAGAGCCCTCTTCCTGACATCACAGAGGATAATGTGACAATCTATGGCTCCTGGATGCTGCCCCAGGACCTTTGAATGACAGCCTAAACATCATCGAAAAGATTGATTCACAACACATTATGAGAAAACAGCTGGTTAAGAAAGTACAGTTTTTTAAAAAAGAACATATTGCACAGTTGCATATGACATTAAAATAACAGCCTTTTCGAGATGGGAAGTGTGAAAACAGTATTAGAATTTTTTTTAAGTCTGTTTGAAGGCTTAAAGAACCTCAGAGGAAAGTTCCTGAGAAACCTCTGCCTCACATCACCCTCCCCCCATCTTATTAGTTGTATTAGCAAGCTTATCAGCAGGATATCCAGTCTTTACCAGTCTTTACATTTTGGGGCAATATTGCACAAATCAAAAAGGTCCTCTGTGTAACCTGCCAGCATACGTTTTGAAGAAAAGAAATTAATACCCTCCCACACACACTTCGAAGCAGACCAAGAAAGATGATTAGGGGGCTGGATGCTAAGACATATGATGAACGGTTGTGGGTAAGTTAACGAGAAGAAGAACTAAGGGTGACATGATAGCAGTCTTCCAATATTTGAGAGGCTGTCGCAGAGAAGAGGGGGTCAATCTATTCTCCAAAGCATCAGAGGGCAGGACAGGGATGGAAAATTATCAAAGAGAGATCCAGCCTGGAATTAAGGAGAAATTCCTTGACAGTGAGAACAATTAATCAGTGGAAAAGTTTGCCTCTGGATGTTGTGGCTGCTCCATCAGTAGAGGTTTTTAAGAAGAAATTAGACAGCCATTTGTCTGGAATGATACAGGGGCAGGAGGTTAGATTAAAAGAACTCCAAGGTCTTTTCCATCTCTCTAATTCTGTTAAAGGATCCAGGAGGCAGTGTGAAAACTGCAAAATTTGTGCTAGGAATTCTTTCAGAGCTGTCCCATAAAAGCATTTTTAGTAATCAAGCTCAAATATAACTAATACATGAATAACACAATCTAGATTTGATCAGACTGAGTTGCAGGGAGATTAGCAACCTAAACTGTAACACATGAAAGTTTATACTTTTTAATAAAATTTGTTATCCTGTAAAGGTGCTACCAGACCCTTAATTTGGCCCTGTAATTGGAATTCTTAATCTAACACAATGTTGTGATATGTGTATAAAATCTCATAAGAGTCAAACACAACAATGGTGTATTACCTTCTAAACTTTTTTGAATTACTAACAGCTTTGCATGCCAACACACAGATATGATTAATAAAAATCTCTTAATGGCTTTATTCACACAATATTCTTAATCTGGTTACTGAATTAATCTTTTTTTAATTTACAGAACAAAATGAATTGTAATTTCACTGAACTGACAGGATGTGTGTCACACACTAACTGAACTGATCCTTCCCTTCCCTACCAAATCAAAATCAAGCTAGTGTGTGTGAAATCTTGTGTGTGAAGTATAAAGTTCTGCTGCCTTTTTCCCTGAGTACTGAAAAGAGCAACAAAGATGATCAGGGGACTGGAGGCTAAAATATATAAAGAACAGTTGCAGGAATTGGGTATGTCTAGTTTAATGAAGAGAATGACGAGGGGGGACAGGATAGCAGCTTTTCAATATCTCAGGGGCTGCCACAAAGAAGAGGGGGTCAATCTAGCCTCCAAAGCACCTGAAGCAATGGATGGAAACTAATGAAGGAGAGAAGCAACCTAGAACTAATAGAAATTTATTGACAGTTATAACAATTAACCAGTGGAATGACTTGCCTCCAGAGGTTGTGGGTGCTCCAACACTGGAGGTTTTTAAGAAGAGATTGGACAAACATTTGTCTGAAATGGTATAAGCTAGGGTTTTCTGCCTGAGCAGGGGTTGGACTAGAACAGTGGTTCTCAAGCTTTTTAATGCCGTGACCCCCAACCGGTCGTAAGTCGAGGACTACTCAACCGGTCATAAGTCGAGGACTACTCAACTGGTGCAGCACCGTTTGCAGACTGGGACTTTTGGTGGGCTCAGCAGGGCAGAGACAGCCTGGACAATTCCTATTGGCTTTTGAAAGCCAATATAATTAGACTCTATTCAAGAGAGTCTATTCTATTGGCTTTCAAAAGCCAATAGAATAAAAGGGAATAGCACAGCTAAGGAAAAGGACGGACTGCGTTGTTTGGAGACCCCCGTGAAATGGTCGTTCGACCCCAAATGGGATCCCGACCCACAGGTTGAGAACCACTGGACTAGAAGATCTTCAAGGTCTCTTCCAACTCTATTATTCTGTTAAATTCCCTTAATAGTTCAAATTTGCCTACATCTACTCTATGCTCCATGTTATTTCTTTCAGATCTCTGCAAGCTTTTTTCAAGCCAATGGCCACACTCAGTTTTTGAGGGTTGAGCTGCAGATGGAGAAAACCTTTCTGAACCCTGGGCAGGATTAAGGGAAAATGACCTTTGATGTTGCTTTGTTTCACTTTTGAAGCATGTTGGTAGAATACCATTGCTTTAATTACTGTTCAGCGGAACCTTCTTAAGTGTGTGTAATTGATTGTGTTTAATAAAGCTTCGGTTCACACAAGAGCCGACTGTCAGGCAGCAGTTTTTGGACCGAGATGAGGAGGTGGCACTTGAACTTTCAGGGGTCTCACAAAGCTCTGGGGTCAATGGTTAGCCTACTGCAGGGGCTGGTGTCACTAAGCAGGCTCTTTCCTAGGTCTTCCTGGCCCCCTTCCACTCCTCTCTCTTTTCCTTTATCAACCTGCCATTATACATTTCCCATCTCCGTGCATGATACTGGCCAGCAACTGGTATATCTAACTGTTGACCAGAAATAGCTGAAAAACATTAGGGGACATCTGCAGCTCTCTGGGAAGCATGTTTGACTTTTGGAGAGCTTGTAGCAGGGGACCAGCAGAGTTCCCATCTTCCAGCTTTGCCAACACCTGTAGGATGATGATGTGTTGGGGTTTCAGGATAGCAGCTTTTCTCACTTTGGGAGCCTCTGGATGTTTTGGAGTTCAGCTCCCATCACAGCTGTGCTGCCGGGGATGGTAAGAATTGCCGGCTGGCGAAGGTAGGCACTGGAATCCAACAACTCCGGCGGGCGCCCAGTTGGAGAAGGCGGGCGAGCGTCTCGGCTTGAGCCCCGCCTTCTCCTGCTGGTGCCAGGAATGGGCGTGGCGCAACGACCAGAGCCACGCCCCAAATCTAAGCCGCTCCCTGTTGTGTACAGGTGTTGGGGCGGCAACTCAACTCCTCTCCTCTTTTTCAGTCTCCCCGCCCTCCGGTTTAGGGGAGCAGGTGCATGGCGCCCACTAGAAAACAACGTCCGGACTGGTCCGCGTGGAAGGAGACACTCTGGGTATGCTCAGATACTACCCTCACCATTTCCCCCCAAGCATAGATGAAACGATTCCTGTCCGAAAATTATTTGTATTATTGATCATCGTTGTGGCTGTTACTATTACTATTATTCCCTATTTTAGTTGTGGGGTTTCCCTTCTCTTCTTCCGCCTCTCCACGGGCTCGTAATCCTGCATTTGTGTTATTTTGCTACGATAGCTCGCCATCCTACGCAAGGCTCCTTCTCTATGGAAACTAAGCAAAGTCATACGGGCAAAGGCATGCAACGCGCGCGCACAGACACACACACACAAACGCACACACAACAGAGACGTAGTTCTCCACCATCACTACTGCCTCCTCCCCCTCTGCGCCCCCCACAAATCAATCCGAGCCCCCTCCCCTTCGCCCCTTTGTGCTGAACCCTGCAGCAGCTGGAGAAAGACCGACATGCACACACACACACACACAGACAGACAGACAGACACACAAACACAAGCCATTTTGCTTGGCAGAGGAAAGGGCGGGTGAGATAGCTTTCCAACCTCCTTCTGGTGAAGGCTGGGTGGGGTGCAGGTGGCCATTCTTGGAGTCCAAGCAGAGATCTCCACCCCACCCCCACCCCCCTTCACATGTTCCTCTGTCCCTTGTTTTTTGTTAAAACTGCTTGATTTGCTCTTCTCCAAAGAGAGAAGTGGTGGGTGAATTACCCTTTAAGGCAAGAAAAGGCAGCCCACTCCTCTTTTAATGAGCACCCCCTCCCCAATAATTCAAGCACAGAAGGGCATGGGAAAAATGCTACTCTGTCCCCTCCAGCAGCCGGAAAGGTGAGAAGATTGGGGAAGGGGTCCATGCTGGTCAACACCCCCTCCTCCTCTCCCAGTCGGGGTGCATCGCAAATGTTGGGCAGGTATGTTTCATCCATTCATGTGTTCTTTCATTCATTCATTCTTCCTTCCCCTCCTCTCTCTCTTTTCCTTTATCCAACTGCCATTGCATGTTCCCCCCCCCCCCATGTGCTCCTGGGGTTCTGCGCCTCACTTCCAGACAAAGGGCTGAACTTGATTTGGTGATGCTTCTGGTGGCTAGGAGCTCCCCAGGAAAAAAGGGGGGCATGCACCCCCACTTCACAATTGCCTCTGCTATGGGACATTCCATTAACCCATAGCAACAGCCATGTTCTTGGAGGCTCAGAGCCTTTCGGAGAATTCATCTGGAGACGCCAGAGCGAAGCATGCTTCCATTTTTCATGCCTGTTCTATCTAGCCCCATGTAGCATTTGGGTTAATTTTGGGGGGCAGAGGGGGGATGATTTGAAAACCACCCTCTTATTTCAGCATGATGGAATGTCAAGACCATCAATCATTCATTGATCCTCTCAACAGTTGCCACTCAGAGGGAGACGAGAGGGGTGGAGGGAGGCAGGAAGAGAAGGAAGGGCATTTAACCAATGTGGAAAACATCTTTGCTCTTTCTTTTTTTTAAGCAGCTGCCACCCCCCTCCCTCTGAATTTGGAAATTCTGTGCCTTGGAACTCACTTCTCTGGTACATGGCAGACATGCTTTTGCTGGCATTTTTGTTAAAAGTTTTCAAAAAGGCGCCGGACAGAGCAAATGCAGAGCAGTCTGGTGTGATCCATTAGCTGTGATGGTTAAATGGATCCTGCATGTATAGAAGCAAAAGATCAGTGAGTACAGGTGGTGGGAAAACTGCACATGGCTCAGCCTTTGTCCAACAGCTCCTGCTGCAAACAAGATGCTGATATTAGAGATAAATTACTAAAATTAGAGATTCTCCCCAAATCATTCCCTTCCTGCAATCATGTTACGGATCATTTTCAGCAGGGTAGCTGGTTCACTTGTCTTTTTGCATTGATCCTAGAGGACAATTGGTAATATTATGCACCGGAGACAAATTCCTTGGGTGTCCAATCACACTTGGCCAATAAAGAATTCTAATTCTAATTTTACAGAGGTGAGCATGGAAAGCTGAACCGTGTCTACTGTCTCGTGTACCCCCATAACTAAACAGCAATTGAAGCTCTGCCGGGTTAACATAAATAATTAAAAAGGGAACCAAGAATTGGTGGACTGCTTTTTTGTCTCACCAAGTTTCAACTGGGATGCGGGATGGGTAGAGACTGGTTTTTCAAACAAGAATATGTATTTCTGGTCACTTTCAGAATCTTCAGTCTTTCACTGGTGATTCAACGTTTCTTTCAGTAGAGAAACATAACATGACCAACATCCGTATCATTCCTATTCAATGTATACAAAGCGTATTATTCCTATTATGCTGTAGCCAAACTTTAGAGGACGAATTCAAATGAAGATTTCTCCCTATAGCTTTGGCGGGATTGTGGTTTGGGGCTCAAACACATGGTTTGGCTGCACCAGATGCTAAAAGATCCTCCAGCTAAACAAGATGTCAGATTGGAGCATGAGAAAGATTCTCTCTTTGAGGATTGCTAGAATTGCTACTGCTGAATAGAGTAGTGCCCTGTTGGCCCACCTGTTCCTCTGTCATCATCATTCCAGACAAGTGGCACTGTGTGTGATAGGAACTGCAGTCCAGCTGTTCTAGGGGACACCACATGTACAGATAGTCTGCGATTACGACCAGAATCGGGTTGAGAATTTCTGTTGCTAAGCAAGTCAGTTGTTAAGTGAGTTGCACTTTATGACCTTTTCTGCCACAGTTGTTAAGTGAATCATGCAGTTGTTAAATGAATCCATCTTCACCCATTGACTTTGTAAGAAGCTAGCTGGGAAGGTTACAAATTTTGATCACAAGATAATGGAGATACTGCGATATGTAAGGACTGGTCATAAATCACTTTTTCCAGTGCCGTTATAACTTTGGATGGTCACTAAATTAATGTTTGAGGTCTACCTCTAGAAGATTGGAATAGATAATCCCAAATCAGATGGGACAATGGTGATCAGACTTGGCATGCACCCAGCTTTGTTAGTCAGCTGGACCTTTTGCCTCTTGGGAAACTGGACCCCGGAAAGGAGGGGGTCGTGTAGGATAATGCACGCTTCCTTATCCACTAATATTCCATCTTCATGCCACATCTTAACAGGAGCAATGTGTAAGAAGAGAGGATTATGGAATATGTTTGCAAATCAACATGTGGGTTTTGTACAATGAGTAGACTTCATGTTTCTTGCCCAATTTGCCACATGGACCAGTGGCAAAATAACACGTGAAAACCACATGGCTTGTAGATGCAGTCTATGGGTGCCAGGATTTGAAACCAGCATGGTTGGTGTTTGGAAAATTCATTTTCAAAAGTGCCTGCTCACAAGAATGTGAATCAAAAAAGAGGCAGAGAAGAGCAACAAAGTGATTGGGGGACTGGTGGATAAAACATAAGAAGAACGGTTGCAGCTATTGGGTATGTCTAGTTAATGAAGAGGACTAGGGGTTGATATGATAGCACTGTTCCAATATTTGAAGGGCTGCCACGAAGAAGAGGGGTTCAACTTATTCTCCAAAGCATTTGAAGGCAGGACAAGAAGCAATGGGTGGAAACTAATCAAAGAGAGAATCTACCAAGAACTAAGGAGAAATTTCTTGACAGTAAGAACAATTAATCACTGGAACAACTTGCCTCCAGAAGTTGTGAGTGCTCCAGCACTGCAGGTTTAAAAGAAGAGATTGAACAATAATTTGTCTGAAATGGGTTTAGAGTTTCCTATTTGAGCAAGGGTTGGACTAGAAGACCTCCAAGACCCCTCTAATTGTGTTATTCTGTTATTCTGTTAAAGTCAAGATGACAGCCATATGATATAACCTCTTCCTCCTTGCTTCTTTTACGCGAAGTCCTTGACTTACGACAGACGCCCCCAAAAGGACTTGAGACCCAGGTTCAAAGTTCTATGTTCAGACCTCTTCTCCTGCAGTTGATTGCATTTTGTTTGGTCAGCAACTGCGCCCCACAGTCACTGAGTGTGACTTACATTTTTGCTGGAAACCTGCATTTACTTCCAGATTCTGGCAAAAAACTGCCCCATGGTGAACAATGGGTTTGCTTAACGACCACAGTTTTTGCTTTATGACTGTGGGGTTTGCTTTACGGTTGTGGCATTTGCTTAATGACCACTTGAAAAAAAATTTGTAAAATCTGACCAGGTCACAGGGTGACCTGCTTTACAACCATTACAAAAAAACCCTCCCTTTTCCAACCCTGTAATCCCTTAATTCAGAATAGAGTTGGAGTGACAGGATGGAGCTGAGTGTTTACTGGCCGGATGCCCTTCCTGATGCCACGTGAAGTTTACAGCAGATATTTTTTCTTTGTGCCCTGAGAGAGAAACATCTGCCACAATCTAGGATTGAACTCTCAACCTTCCAAGTGGGAGGTGAATGTCTTCACCGCTAAGCCACTGTGCTGCTCTTTGCAACCATTACTTACAATCATGGGGCTTAATTATGACCATAATTTGACTACTTCAGGGGTAGGCAACCTTGGCTCTTTTATGACTGGTGGACTTCAACTCCCAGAATTCCTGAGCCAGCCACGCTGAGGTGAAAGGGAGAGGTTTCCACGCTGAGCCATGCTGGCTCAGGAATTTTGGGAGTTGAAGTCCACGAGTCATAAAACAGCCAAGGTTGCCTACCCCGGACTACCTGTATACATGCATCCTTTGCACAGTGCCGATTAAAAAAAAGGGCAGCAGGGCTTCATTTGAAATCATTATCTTGATTTTATGGACATTCTTTCCCATAAATGCTTGTTCCTACTCCCTAGAAACTTCAAAGACATTTTCCCTCCCTCTCCCCACTTTGCAAACTGCAGCGAGCATACACACAATTTTTTTTGAGGCCTCTTGCGGATAGAAATTGAGGCGTTGTAGGACAGGAGGATAATATAGTAATGCTGCTTTGAGCCTTTGTAGAATCCTTCTTTTGGTTCTGTCACCTCCCATTGTAGCAGCTTCTTTCATGATAGCTATATATCTTGTCTCTTAACAGAAGCTGAGCTGGGGCTTTCATTCCCACGCCCTGCCCACCTGTTCCTATAAATCCCACTTCTGACACCATGATCTCTGCTAAGGACAAGGCAAAGGCTCCCAAAGACAGCATGACGCTTCTTCCTTGCTTCTACTTTGTTGAGGTAAAGACATAAAAAAAAAAATGGCTTCCTTACCCACCACCCCCTGCGTCAAGAACTGGAGGAAGATGGAGGATCAGGTGGCTCAAAGGTTTAAACTGGGCATCCTAGTTTAAGGGTGACTGTTAAACCCCCATCCCTGTGGCTCATTAGCACAGACTTGATTGTTTCACTCTGTTGCCCCGGGCTCAATCTCTTTGTTTACTTCCGGCCCCCAGTTGCCCATCGTCGCTTCATCCATCGTGACTCTCTACTTCCTGGAGCTGACAGACCTCTTCCGGCCAGCCAAGGTGGGCTTCCAGTGTTACGACCGAGCGCTTTCCATGCCCTATGTAGAAAGCAATGAAGAAATGATTCCTTTGCTGATGCTGCTAAGCTTGGCGTTTGCAGCTCCTGCAGCTTCTGTGAGTATTATTTGTTTGTTTTGTTTGTTTATGTCCTACCCTTATTATCTTTTATAAATAACTCAAGGTGGTGAAAATGTGTAATATGCCCTTGTCCTATTTCCCCACAACAACAACTCTGTGAGGTGGGTTAGGCTAAGAGAGAGGGACTGGCCCAAAGTCACCCAGCCAGTTTTCATGCCTAAAGTGGGAATAGAACTCTCAGTTTCCTGGCGATTGGCCCAAAATCACCCAGTCGGTTTTCATACCTAAGACAGGACTAGAACTCACAGCCTCCTGGTTTTTAGGCCAGCACCTTAGCTACTACACCAAACTGGTTCTTGGGCCACGGTACATTCCTCTCCTCCTCTTTTACGCCTTGGATTTATAACCTGCCTTTATCTCATACAACTCAAGGTAGTGCACATAATGCTCTCTCCTGTTTGTTGCACAACAACAACCATGCAATGTGGGTCAAGTTGAGAGGGAGGGACTAGTCTAAAGGCCCCCAGCTAGCTTCCATGGCTCAGGGAGTAGTAGAACTCAGAGTTCCTTGGTTTTTAGTCTAGTAGAGGGTTGCTCAGCCTTGGCACCTTTAAGATGTGCAGACTTGAACTCCTGGAATTCTCCAGCAAGCATGTTGACTGGATAATTCTGGAGTTGAAGTGCACCCAACATAACTTTGTCAAGGTTGAGAAACATTCGTCCAGCAACTTAACCAGTAGCCTACATTGGTTCTCAATTCAGACTTTTCATTATATTTGCTCACTGGAAAACTAATATCCTGATGGACAGTTCACAGTGGAGGAAAGGGATTCAAGATGACATTGAACCTATGTGATCAAAGTCCCACTTTCTCTCCCTGAAGACCACCTGAGTCATTAACAGCTGTCTATTATTCCTATATAGCTCCTTCAGGAACACAAGGCAACCTTCTCCAACAGGGTCCTTCCACATGGTTTGGGACCACAATTCCTAGTCACCATCTGGGAGTTAAAGACCCAAGGCATCTGGTAGAGAGCTGGCTGGAGGAAGGTGACATACGGGATTCTGCTGGATCGATTCCCAAACCCCATTAATTCCACCGTTTCCAACAGTGACCAGCAAATGCTCACCAGATGGGCTTGAAAGCAAGAGTCCCCTGCTTAGTTTTTCCATTTATTTTGGTCCCCTGAGTTGGATTGCTGGTCCAAAAATCCATTTGGTCCACCAGGAGGAGCCTCCAGACAGATCCTGAAGTTCAGAAACGAGGGTTGTGCAGCAGTTCAGATCAAAAAGGCAACATGTGATTGAGAGCACCCATGGATCCATCTAATTTCTCATGCTGGTTGGGAAATTCTGGGAGTTAAAAGTCTATCGGGGGGGGGAGTGAGTTTGGGACAGGCAGATGGAAGAAAAGAGCTGGTGGTTTGACGCTGCTGCTTTGCTTGGCAGATCATGGTGGGCGAAGGCATCGTGTATTGCTTGCAGTCAAAGATGAAGGGTCGTAGCAATACTGAAGGCAGCATAAATGCCGGTGGCTGCAATTTCAACTCCTTTCTCCGCAGGACGGTCCGGTTTGTGGGTAAGCTTATTTCCATCCTTCCTAATTGCTGGTGGGGAAGTGTTCTGGTCACTTTGTTCCCCTTTTTTGGCTTGTTGATCGTTTCTTTTGCACAGTATGTACACCAAGGACCCCATCCCTTACTCTTGTCCTTTCATTCATTCCACTAGTGTCTCCTAGGCCTTAACCTAAGGTGACCAACCGTCCGCCTTTAGGGAGGACGGTCCTTCTTTTGTAAGTTCTGTCCTCTCTCGAAAAGTGTCCTCCTACATGTCCTCCTTTTCGATATTTGAAGACTAATCTGTAAATCTCCGTATTCGATCGATGCCGATCTGATCCGTTGCGTGTGTTGTGACGTATTTGTATTTGACATGATGACTTGTCAAGGCTCGGTACAGTGCGGCGAGATGCGATTATGAGACGCATGCGTTCCGCACAGGAGAATTGTTTTGAGAGAGTGCGCCGTGCACAAGAGTGCACCGTGCGCAAGTGGCTTTGTTTACTTCTTACCGAAACACGACATGGCACACACGCATCCATTAGACTCACTTTTTTTTCTTCAATTTATTTGTGTCCTCCTTCTCATTGTAAAAAAGTTGGTCACCTTACTTAACCTTAACTGAATTTGCTCCCCCTTCAGGTGTCCATGTGTTTGGCCTCTGTGCCACAGCCCTGGTGACCGATGTCATCCAATTAGCCACAGGATACCACGCCCCTTTCTTCTTGACCGTCTGTAAGCCCAACTATACTCTCTTGGCTATCTCCTGCGAGTTCAACCCTTACATCACTCAAGATATCTGCTCAGGTCAAGACCAGCATGCTATTCTCTCAGCCAGGTGAGCCCACCTCCCTTTCTTTTATGTCTGCTCTGGAAACCAGATTTTGCTGTCCTGTGCAGTCTGGTTATTTCTAATGAAAAAATTTTTTTTTGTAATTTTAATTGTTCCTATATTTATAATTGTTTTTATAACTTCCATTTATGTGCCGCCCAGAATGACTCTGGATAACAAGATGGGCAGCATATACATTTAATAAATAAATATGAATCAAATCGAATCAAACATAAATAAGATAAATAGTTTTAGATCTTTTTAATAATTCTGTTTAAATTTGTTTTATTATATGTGTTCTTACTCATCATTAGATCATACTCAGTACATTTTTATATATGTATGTATGTAAGTAGCCTATAATTGGATATTTTACTGTTTCTGGCCATATGCCTGTAATAAACTGATTTGATTTGAATAAATAAATCATTTGTTCAAGCTTATCTCAGTTAATCAATTGCTATCACAACAATATTGTCAACCACAGTTTCTTAGAAAATTTGCATCACATTTTTGGGAGTATCTGACAGTTATTTGCAAATTTATTGTTAGAATTATATATAAAACCAGCTTTAGCCAACATGCAAGAAATAAGAGGTACTGAGATAGTGAAAATAGATGTTAATGCTCATAGTTAGGGTCTCTTTCCTAAATAAACATTTTTGCAACAGGAAACTAGTCCCTTATATGGGTAGTCCTCAACTTACCACCACAAGTGAGCCCAAAATTTCTGTTGTTAAGTGAGACATTTGTTAAGTGAGTTTTGCCCCATTTTACAACCTTTGTTGTTAAGTGAATCACTGCAGTTGATAAATGAGTAATCCGGTTATTAAGTGAATCTAGCTTCCTCATAGACACAGACAGCCATTTGTCCGAAATGGTATAGGGATTCCTGCCTGAGCAGGGGGTTGGACTAGATGACCTCCAAGGTCCCTTCCAACTTTATTGTTGTTGTTGTTGTTGCTTGTCAGAATGTTGCAAAAGGGAATCACATGACCCTGGGACACTGCAATTGTCATAAATATGAGCCAGTTGCCAAGCATCTGAATTTTGATCACCTGTTCATGGGGATGCTGAAAACAGTCATAAATCACTTTTTTCAATGCCTTTGTAACTTTGAACAGTCACTAAGAGAACTATTGTAAGTTGAAGACTACTTGCATACTAGTTTCTGCTTGCATAGTTGGTTTACTATTATTATGACTGAGCACCAATAATAATAATCTACCTATTTTGCTACCTATAGATTTATTGTCTTATTCTGCTGTACTTATAAAGCCAGACATATAGGTAGATTGTACCTGTTTTCCCCATTACTTTTAACTTCTCACTTAATGACCCTCATGTCTTGGGGTTATGACAACAACAGGAACTGCCTGAATTTCTGTCGCTAAGCAATGCAGTCACATGACATTGTGCTTTAGGACTGCATCACTTAGGGACGATTCCAGTCCTAATTGCTGTCATAACTCAAGGATTAACTGAATGGGTTTAATATTGCTATTTTTACACGATTCAGTATCTGTTCTATGAATGTGTCAGTTTTATTTTTAACACGCTAAATATCACTAAATATATCCCATATCAACAAAAGCTTTTTTAGAGTCCACCATAATTTTTAAAATTGGGGAGGGGTCTGGAGAGCAGAAAGTTTTAAAAAAATGCCTAAGTGCTTCCTAAGTGCAGTTCTGGTTGAACTTGTCAGTGTGTTGTGAAATTAAGGTCTCCTGACTGTAGATCAGTGGTTCTTAACCTGGGCGATATTGCCCCCCAGGGGGCGATTTCATTTTTCAGGGGGGCGATGGAACGAAAAGGGGCGATGCGGGGGCAAAGGAACGAAAAGGGGGCGATATGGGGGTGATAGAGCGAGAAGTTTTGGGGACACTTTTGAGACTTTTTCGTACAGTGAATGGCTGTATATCTGTCATACAAAAACATCAGATCGCTCGCTATTAGTGGATTGAATTGTGTTTTCAAATGTTCCTCCAGCTAGCTCCAGTACAGAACACCGTACATATGTAAATACACATTGCTTATCTTCATGCATGTTGTGCAACAGCCTGTACCATACAGTGGCGCGCCATTAGCCAGAATATGGGAGATATGGGGAAAAGACTGGAAATAAATTATTTGCATCGTTATGTCCTGATGAACAATTTTAAAGAAAACAAAAAAAGGGTTTGCATAAATTGAAGAATTATTTCCCATGTTGTGATTGAGAGGTTATGTTGGGGGAGGGGGGCAATGACAACTTCCTCATTGGCTCAAGGGGGCAATTCGTTCAAAAAGGTTAAGAACCACTGCTGTAGATGGACCATGGATATATGATTTCTTTCTCCCTTCTAGGAAAACGTTCCCTTCTCAGCATGCCACGCTGTCTGCGTTTGCTGCCGTCTACGTTTCCGTGAGTTTTACTTGTTAATGTCAAAACCAGAAAGAAGCAGGCTCAGAATAGAATAGAGAAGTGCTATTTAAGACCGACAAAGCCTCCAATAGCTGAGATGCAATTATGTTTTTAATGCAACTGAAAGAGAAGATTATTAAAGACATACTGGGGTGTAATCACATTAACTTCAATGAACTGTTATTACCTTTAAACCTAATGAAATGAAATTTAATTTTTTCCTGGATACTGCGAACAAACAGAATGCCTCCCTTCCGCCCCTTCCCCAGCGTGTCACTCAAAATAAAAATCACCCCAAAATCGCTATTCAGGGCGCTATTCAGGTGACCCTGAGGGCACAGATAAACCTCCAAGTGGCCTGAATGGCTCTCAGAAAGAGTGCTAAGGACCAGATGATTGTAAGGAATATAAATCCTTCTATTCTCCACCATTCAATCAGAACTGAAGAAGCTTCTCGGATGAGAAGCAAAAGGTCTTCCAGTTGCCTCTTGAAAAAGCCCCTTTGGGCCAATGATGACCTGGATGACTGAGAATCTCTATAGACATAATCACACACCCCCCCATAAAAAGCTTGCATAGTCCTAACCTGGTCTGGAGCTCAGAGCTGAGAGTCCCACTATGTTTCCCATTGCCAAAAATGGGAGTGGGGAAGGGGCTGAAACTCACCTGTTGGGGTTTAACAGGAATCTGCAGGATGCCAATTTGAAAAAGTCTTTTTGAAAGAGAAAGAGTTAGAGATTCCATATTTGGTTAGTTAATGTCTTCATATAATCAACACTAATTCATCCAACATTCATCCTGGTATAGTCAATTTCATTCTTCTGTTACTTTAACAATAATAATAATATGGGCACTGGTAAAATCACATTCAGTCAATTGCAAAAGGCAGTTTTATTCAGAACAACTTACATTCTGCAAGGATACTTTTCATACCATCAGACATCTGCCTATCCTGGACCCTTGGAAAGGATTCTATAGGTCAGTGGTTCTCAACCTTTTTAATGCCGCGACCCCCAACCCGTCGTAAGTCGAGGACTACTCAACCGGTCGTAAGTTAAGGACTACTCAACTGGTGCAGCACCGTTTGCAGAATGGGACTTTTGGCGGGCTCAGCAGGGCAGAGACAGCCTGGACAATTCCTATTGGCTTTTGAAAGCCAATAGAATTAGACTCTATTCAAGAGAGTCTATTCTATTGGCTTTCAAAAGCCAATAGAATAAAAGGGAGTAGCACAGCTAAGGAAAAGGGGAAAAAATGGCGGACTGCATTGTTTGGCGACCCCCATAAAATGGCCGTTCGACCCTAAATGGGGTCCCAACTCACAGGTTGAGAACCACTGCTATAGGTGAATTAAAAATGCTAAATCTATGAATGATAATAATTTATGAAATTTATGTGCCATCTGAGTCGCAGAAACTCTGTTTCTCAGTTATCTCTCTCTGCCCAGTGGGGGGGGAGGAGGAGGAGGAAGAGGAGGAGATTATTGAGGGGAAAGTGGATAAAAGTAAACAGGGAATGGCTTACAACTGGAACTGAAAGAAACTGAAGGCTTGATTTTGATTGCTCAAGAGCAAGCTATTCAACTAATGGTGTCAAGGCTAGATCAGAAAAATATGATTCAAAGTTCAGATTGTGCGAAGAATCAAGAAAGCAGAAGAAACAGTGGATCATACACTCAACTCATGCAAGAAGACGGCACAAACTGACTGCAAACAACTAGATAACAGTGTTGCCAAAATGATTAGTTGGAATGTAAAAATTATGTGCCAGTAATGAAAAATTGGTAGGAACATGTAATTGAAAAAGTAGTAAAAATGAGGAGGTTTTTATGGGATTTCCAAATAGCAATAGCACTTATACCTGTATACCGTTTCATAGTGCTTTTCAGCCCTCTCTAAACGAAGCGGTTTACAGAGTCAGCATATAGCCCTCCCCCCAAATCCGGGTCCTCATTTTAGCGACCTCAGAAGGCTGGAAGGCTGAGTCAACCTTATAAAGTTTGATTTAACTGTGGTTGAAAAAAAGAAAGTGTGGATAATTGATGTGGCAAAACCAGGAGACAGTAGAATAGAAAACGAAGAATTGGAGAAGATCGCAAAATCAAAGGTGAAAGATTATGGTATAAACCAGCAGTTATCAACACACTGGATACCATACCAAAAAAACCTTAGATAATACTTAGATCTGGGCATTGACAAAAACTTCCATCTATCAATTACAAAAGTCACACTGCTTGGATCTGCACATATACTATGCCAATACATTATAACAGCCTAGGTTCTTTCATTTGTTTGCTTGTTTGTTGTTCCATCCATCCATCTATCCTGCCACATCCTTGGTTCTCGGGAAGAATGTGATGCAAATGAAGGCCAACACCAGCTAAAGTATTGGTAGCTGTGACTTCATGTTGCTCTGAAAAGATCATAATTGATTATATTTATATGTTGCTCAGTGTCTCTGTGCGATTGGGCTGTACTTAGCAAAGTTATACTGTCTCCATCGCAATCCAGTGAAAAGTTCCAGATAATAAGTGATTGGGTTGCTATACAACTTCTCTGTAATGGAATGCCTAGAATTAGGTGACCTAAGGCAGGGGTAGGCAACCCTGGCTCTTTTATGATTCGTGGACTTCAACTCCCAGAATTCCTGAGCCAGCAAGGCTGGCTCAGGAATTCTGGGAGTTGAAGTCCACAAGTCATAAAAGAGCCAAGGTTGCCTACCCCTGAGGTCCTAAGGGAAAGAAGGACAATCCAACAAGTAAGGCAGGAGCCCACAACTTGTTCGGCGGTCTAACAGTTAAAAGTGGCAGGTGGGAAGTTTGTACTTTGAGACTTGCAAGAATCTGTTCGGGTAGCCTTACAACAAAGTAGAAATAGCTCATCTAGTCGTGTTTCCTGTCCGGTTTACCCTGGAAAGCTGACAACCTCCATTATCATCCACAGATGTATTTCAACTCCATAATCTCAGATAGCACCAAGCTCCTCAAGCCAATCTTGGTGTTCGGTTTTGCCATCGCAGCTGGCATTTGTGGCTTGACGCAGATCACCCAGTACCGCAGCCACCCAATTGATGTTTACGTGGGCTTCTTGATTGGTTCTGGTATTGCTGCTTACCTGGTAAGTGTCTGTCTTTCCAAGGGCCGTGGGAAGAAGGGGCAGGGGGCAGAAGGGCTCCTGTTTCCTAAAACTGGTAGATCCATCATGCCGGGTAACCTTTCTCAGGCTGTGTTGCTCTGAAAAGCATGGAAACTTCTCCAAGGTGGAGAGAAAAAGAATACATGCAGAAACAGTCTAGTTCCGATTGACCTGTCAGCTTTTTATAGCATGACCATTTTTAGTTACAGGTAGTCCCCAGCTTACAACCATTCATTTGTTTGAAGTTACAGTGGCACTGAAAAGTGACTTATGACCATTTTCACACCTACCATGTTTTCCTGAAAATGAGACCCAACTGGAAAATTAGCCCTAGCATGGTTTTTCAGGACACTTCTAATATAAGCCCCACCCCAAAAATAAATCCCAGTTAAGATCGTCAGCCAGATGGACACGTTTAGTACCGTATTTCCCCAAATATAAGCCCTACCTGGGAAATAAGCCCTAATGTGTCTTTTGGAGCAAAAATTAAGACCCAGCGAAACATGATACAACCACTGTTGCAGCATCCCCATGGTCATGTGATCAAAATTCAGACGCTTGACAGCCAGCATGTATTTATGATGGTGGCTTTGTCCTGGGGTCATGGGGTCACCTTTTGAGATTCTCTGGCAAGCAATCAATGGAGAAACCAGGTTCACTTAATAAACATGTCATTAACAACTGCAGTGATTCAGTTAACAACTGTGGCAAGAAAGGCTGTAAAATGGGGCAAAACTCACTTAACTGTCTTGCTTGGCAACAAAACTTTTGGGCTCAATTCGGGCTGTAAGTTGAGGACTACTTGTATGTAGGAATACATGTAGTCTTCGAGTTTCATCCATGATTGAGCCAGGCTATTATAATCATAAGTTGTGATGGTCGTAAAACAGGTTACCACATGACCACATCCAATTATAATCTTCTTTGTGGCAGTCATTAAGCAAATACAGTGATCATTAAATGAATGCCATAGTTGTTAAGCAAACCTATTGCTTTCTGTGGGCCAGTTTTTGCCAAAAACCCAACTGGTTTTTGGCAAGATTGTTGTAAATTGTGATCCCATGACTGCAGGGCGCTGCAAATGGTCATAAATGCTGAGTGCCCGAAGTGAAATGACATTGAAACTTTAAAATCAGATCATAAGTAGTTTTTGGGGGATCTTTCGCAACTTTAAAGGTCACTAAATGACTGTCGTAAATCGAGAACTGCCTGTATCATTAAATCTCTTTTTTGCCCTATATTATTAAAAGAAAGTCAGGCTCAAACGACTAGGTCCACCTGTGAAAGACCAATTAAACTAATTTATTGCTAATATTGCTAGCTTATGGACAGGAATCCTCTCAATGGTTAGCACCTACTTGTAGATAGATAGGAGTCAATGGAATTCAAGGGAGGTGGGACTTATAACGTCTGTGGCTACATAGGGATTCTAGGCTGAGCCCTCTTTTAACACTGCCCCCAGGTTCTGCCACTCCTCCTCCATGTAGTCCCAGAGAGCTGTACCAAGTCTTACTTATGAAAAATAGAGATCTATTTCCATGCTCCTCTGAAATTATTTAGATCTTTACCCCATGCTCCTTGTTGCACACAGGCCTATCATGCAGTGGGCAACTTCCGGGCACCAATAGAAAAGGCTCCCTCCAACCCTCCTGCCAAGGATGCCCTCCGAGCCCTGACTCAACGTGGGCATGACTCCGTTTACCACCAGAACAAGTCAGTCAGCACTGATGAGCTCAACCCTCAGACCCGGCTGGAAGGGATGAATCGGCAAGTGCCACGTGAGAAGAACTCGCTAGGGAGCTTGAAACGGGCAAGTGTTGACGTGGACCTTTTGGCACCCCGGAGCCCTATGGGCAAAGAAAACATGGTGACCTTCAGTAACACATTACCACGGGTCAGCACCCCCTCAATGGACGATCCTGCTCGCCGCCATATGACCATCCACGTTCCAGTGGACGCCTCCCGATCTAAACAGCTGATCACTGAATGGAAACAGAAATCAGTGGAAGGCCGTGGAATGACCTTGGCAGAAGAGGTGGCGAGGCGAGTTGGCTCAGATTCCTTAGCTGGAGAAGAAGAGGATCATATCCCACCTTCCTTGTACCCCACAGTCCAGGCTCGAACGGCTGAGCGTGCCTCTATGGGTCCTCGGGTCCTCATCCAGCCAAGACCCAGGGCCACTCAACTGGTCCACATCCCTGAGGAAAGTCAAGCTAATGCGGGTGCTAATATTTCACCCAAAAGCAGCTCGGCTGTGAGGGCCAAGTGGATGATGATGGCTGAGAAGGGGGCCGCCCAACGGGTGGCCAACCCACCACGCCTCATGCAGGTGATTGCCATGTCCAAGCAACCCGGGATGGTATCGGTGACACCCAAGCATTCAGAGACATCTTCGTCTTCCACCAGCTCTGACTCCTCCCAGTACTGCTCTCCATCAGAAAGAGACAGCTCCAGTGTGGTTACCATCGATGCTCATGCCCCTCACCACCCAGTCGTACATCTGTCTTCTGGAAATGGGCCTTGGGAATGGAAGGCCACCCAGAAAGCTTCGGATGGCCAAGATGCTTACGAGCTCAATGAGATGAGCAAAGATTACCATGGGTTCCGGCCTGCCAAAAGTGCTGGAGTCTCGCCAGGTTCCTCTGTCAGCGACATTGAACAGGAGGAGGCCCGTTACGGCAGCGTGGCCACCATCAATGTGTCAGTGGGTCTGGGAGGGAGTGCATCATTGGTTTCAGCAGAAACCAGCCCTGGAGAAAGCCTTCTGGGGGCCTCCAGCCGGGAATCCACGCTGCGGAGAAAACCAGCTAGCTTAACAGTGGGGGAAAAGGATGGGCAAGGCGAGGAGATGGAAAATTATTATAAGAAGATGCAAGCCAACCGGGGATTTAAGGAATAATCCCGTCACCTACCTCTGGCCACTGCTACCCTGGGCCAAAGTATGATTAAAAGTGCGACTTTTTTTCAAGCAAGCATTGAATTTCAGATGGTAGGACTTTGTAATGATTATATTCGAAAACCAAGGTGAAATCACATGTTTTACCTGGTACAACAGTAATTCAAAGACTGAATATATATTAACAATTTTGGTGAAGTAGACAGTCTCCCGAATGGCCCAAACCTCTAGGATTCACATGGAAAACATTTTTAAACAGAGAAGATTTGGATCAAGTCACCTTTGGGATTATTCTGTCTTTTACTGCACTAGGAATGGATACTATTGAAGAATTCTTGGCTTGGTTTTCCAGAAGACTTAAAACAGACAAAAGAACAAATATGGGTGGTATTAAAATAATTATAGATTATTCATAACTAGTGATTGTAATGATAGCAAGAGTGAGAAGGTGAGACTGGAACAATCCAGTCTGGGTTTATTTGGGGTGTCTTCCTGAGCAACGCCAGTTGGATATAAGCCACCCTTTCCCAACCTGATGCCTTTCAGATTGGTTGGATTTCAATTCTTCCAAACCTGGCCTTTGGTGAACCCTTGCTTGGGAAGCCTGAGGTCAAATTGCCCCTCCCCCCAGGAGTCTGTGGGGAGGTTGTAGTACTAAAGATGGGGTAATGTGTTAATGAAGGGGTGGGAGAATCTACCTCTAAAATTTGAATCTTCTGCGATGCTTTGGAGCAGTGTTTCTCAAACCTGGCGAATTTGAGATAGGTGGACTTCAACTCCCAGAATTCCCCATCTTTGAATAGATAGGGAAGATAGGTGAACTTCAACCCACATGAATTCTGGGAGTTGAAGTCCATTATATCTTTTTTTAAAAAACTATATTGATTTTTTTAAAAAAAATAATAAAAGACAATACAAACTAAATCCAGAAAAGAAAAGAAAAATGAAGAAACAGAATAGGAAGTGCAAAAGAAGAAAAAAGGAAAGAGGAAAAAATAAGAAAAAGAGAAAATAGTTAAAGTGATTTTTGATTCTTCATCACAAGTACAAACGTAGTAATTCTTCACCCCTTACAGTATAAGGTACATGCAAGTAGCTCTTCTTTCCATAGCCCATCCCTTACCCATACTCAAATCCATAAATTACTAACATTTCAGTCCTAGTAACAACAATCAGTCCATAAAGTGTTCCAAGAATTTTATAGAAAAATGTCTTAGTTTAACCTTGGTCAAACAAACCAACTTTGTAGTCCTTTGCTTCTAGCAATCTTGAATTTGCCACTGTTGCAAATCTTGAATTCATTCAGATGTTGTCGTAGGGTGTACTCTCTGTTCAGTTTTTCTTTTTCTCCATCTCAAAGGTTCCTTTTAAGTTTTAGCAAACCTCTTTTGTAAAACCCATTAAGGACATTCTTTTGGCATATCATTTGTATTTATTTATACAATATACAGTATGAATGAATTCAAGATTGCTAGAAGCAAAAGAAGTACACGGATGGTTTCTTTGACTAAGATTAAAATAAGACATATATTTTCACTTTAGCTATCATGTCTGTCTTATAATCCATATCCCATATCTCCTGGAGTAATTCAGATGCAATTTTCTATCATTTGTCTTAGTGCTGACCAAAGCCTGTCTCCTGGTGCTCAGTCTTGGAGGAAACTGCTATAGCAAAAGCACTTAGACTTATAATACCATTTCATAGTGTTTTACAGCACTCTCTTAAGCTGTTTACAGAGTCATTTTACCGACCTCAGAAGGATGGAAGGCTGAGTCAATCTTGTTATCCTGCAGTTTTCTCAGCAGGAGGAGCCATCTGGAGAATAAGTAAACAATCTCCTGTCCTCTCTGTGTCCAGAGAGGTTCTGTGAGACCAGTCTACTCACTGATCATAGTTGCAATGTCATCTCCACTTGCTCGGAGATGTGTTAGCTCACCATTCCTCACTCAGAAGTCAAAATCTAAGCATCTTGTCAAGTTTGAGAAACACTGCTTTAGAAAGAGATTTTTTTCATTCCAAACTAAATTGGAAATCTGTAAATATCGAAGTGTTTGAAAGTGAACAGAGAAGAGGATGGATGTAAAATAGAAAGTTGTTGCAAACATTTTTGAGAATGTAATTTGATTATATTTCTTATTCTGTCATACAAGAGAGTAGGTCATATACCAGGCAGTGGAAATATTCTCCAAATACAGACATGGTAAATTAGACAATTCTTAGAAAGTGAGTTCAAAGATATTGCCCATCACTATCAAAGTATTTTCTGAAGGCTACTGAGCTTACAATGTCTTTGGGGCAGAAAGAAACATTCACAGAATTCAGTATCCATTTTAGAACCATTTCTCCATCTTATAGCACCTGAGATTTTGAGAGATGTTAAATAATATATAAATATATTAAACTTGGAGTATAATTGTCAAGAGTAATGTTTCTCATCCTTGGCAACATGAAGATATGTGGACTTTAACTCCCAGAATTCTCCATGCTGGCTGGAGAATTCTGGGAGTTGAAGTCCACTTATCCTCACATTGCTAAGGTTGAGAAACACTGGTCAAGATGTTGAATTCTTAGTTCAAAGCTTTACAGGCACTTAAACAAAAGCATCTAATGTCCCATGATTTCAATCAAGTTAGAAATAGAAACCTTATTGGATAGACCAGTGATGGTGAACCTTTTAGAGACCGAGTGCCCAAAAACTGGCCCCGCCCACTCCACCCCCTGCCCCGCCCTCATCCCGTCCCCCACCCCACCTGCCCACAGGGCCACTCACCACCTCCAGGGCCCACTGCAGATTGCCCAGGCAGCCCAGCAGCGCCATGGCCATGCCCTCTGCCCGCACCCCGCAGCATCAACTGTGCGGGATGGGGCATGAGGGCAGAGTCTTGTCTATGGTGCCTGGCTGCCATATTCTTGGCTGTGCTGCTCTGTGTGGGCCATGCTCAGGGGCGACTCTCCTCCAGGGGGTGAGGGGGTCATGGGGGGAGGCGAGGCTGGGGCAACGGCACGTGTGCCCACATAGAGGGCTCCGAGTGCCGCCTCTGGCACGTGTGCTATAGGTTCGCCATCACTGGGATAGACCCTACCTATCCTTGAAAATGGCAGTTATAAGTCATAAAATTTAGTGGAGAATTTTGGAATTTTTTTTTTACTGCGTCTTCATCATGGTCAGGGTTTCTTCAAAGCAGGAATGGAGACAATATAAAATAGCAGTTGTCGGATACCTAAAAAGCTATCCCATAGACTGTAGGGCAACTCTTTATTTCACAGTTTTGAGGGCAGGATGAAAACTAAATGAGTGGATGTCAATTAAACATTAGAGAAACTTCCTAACAGTAGGAAATACTCAGCAGCAGAGCCACCTGTCTTACAAAGTGAGGAAACTTTTCTTGCAGGAAGTATTTAATGGAAAGGGTCCTTTGTTAGAGTGAAATGAATTTATTAATACAAAACATTCAATAAGAATTTTGGGTCCCAACTTTCTGTATTTAAATGTGTTATAAGGATCTAACCACTTTCAAATCAAATGTGAGATGAGGGCTTATTTCTGGCTGAGTGTTAACTGAGATGTTGAAATAGCCTTTCACACAGACCACTTTTGGGAATGTTCTTGCAATCACAGAAACACAAATGGATGGGGAAAGATGGAGTCCTAATACATTTAGCAGGATTAATCTATACTGAAGGAGGGCTAGTGGGATTCAGTGGGGTTTTCTTTGCCTAATCACCCCCTTTCAGATACAGATGTTCTGTTTTCCATGACTCTCAGTAAAAGGGTCCACCCAAATCGAGATCCAAGATGGCAGCCTCTATCTTCCTGGGGATTTTGCTCATGTTTTCCATTTGTGTGATGAAGCCTTGATGGAATTCTAAGTTTCTCTTCATAGCAACTGTGACAGGTAAAGGTTCTTTTAAGGGAATGTTGGCATGAATAAAAGGGTTTATCTAGAAGGAAGGCATATATAACCATATGGTTTGGTGGGTGGGTTTGGGGGAATAAGCCTTCTATGGAGGACATAAGAAGAATGCTTAGATAGTGGCGTTCATTAGTGAAAGGGGAAGCATGAGGGAACAAGGTTGAGTTAGAAATTCATGGTGTTTTTGGGGGTTCACCAATACAAATCCTTGGTTTCTCCATGCCAGGATGTACTAAGATAGTACAAAAGCCAGCGGTAAGCCAGGTATCTAATAGTTATCAATGAAATATGTTTGGAACCTTCTGTTATTTCAATTAAAATGTGTATCTATGATTCCCCTTCAAAGTTGTATGTGTGTGCTTGGGCACTGAAAAAGGGAATAGAGAATCAATGTGGCAGTATCTGTGATCCTAGGTTATGAAGGATCTGGGCAATGTGGGTGCTGCAGCGGCTGAAAGTTTGAGGACCATTGGCAATCCCTCCATTCAGTGCCATCATAACTTTGACCGGTTGCTGAATGAATGATTGTAATTCGAGGACCCACCTATAGATGATCAGGACAATATTCCTGCTCATCAAGGAGAGAACAAAGCTAGAACTAAGGAGACAGAACAATTAATCAGTGGAATAATTTGCCATCACAAGTTACTGGTACTCCAGCATTGAAGGTTTTTAAGAAGAGATTGGACAACCATTTGTCTGAAACGATATAGAGTCTCCTGCTTGAGCAGAGGGTTGGACTAGAACACGGGTGTCAAAATCGATCGTGTCACATGACGTATTGTGATGTATCGTGACATTTTTTACCTTTGTGGAGCTGGGGTGCATGTGGCCTGCACGTGACACATCTGGCCCATGGGTCAGTTTGATACCCCTGGACTAGAAGACCTCTAAGGACTCTTCCAGATCTGTTATTCAATACTGGATGCTCTTACCGAGGAGGCGGCGGCAAATGTTACACTATACCAGGGGTAGTCAACCTTGGCTCTTTTATGACTTGTGGACTTCAACTCCCAGAATTCCTGAGCCAGCTGTGCTGGCTTAGGAATTCTGGGAGTTGAAGTCCACAAGTCATAAAAGAGCCAAGGTTGACTACCCCTGCCTACATTTAAACATGTCTAAACAAAGAGCAGGCCAGAAAAAATTATTAATTGAACAGATAATGCAGCCCTACCAAAATGAATAGCAAAAGTCAGTCCGCGGGTGCAATGATGAGTGAACTGTTTTTGGTTAGGTTGATACTTAACACAGGCAAAAGCATTGAAAAGCTGGGGACCAAAACTATTGCTTTTCCCCAAGAGTTTTTGTAAAGGAATGGCACTCAGACCTGATAGATTTTTTTTTCAGGTCTGTATAGAGCAGGGGTGTCAAACTCGCAACGTCACCTGACGTGTCGCGACGTATCGTGACTTTTCCCCCATTGCCGGAGCTGGGGTGGGTATGGTTTTGGCATGACGCGGGCCAGCAGTTTGAAGACCTCTGCTGCAGAGAGTCTATGTTGAAAGGTTACTCTGCAAAGTGTTTGTAGGATCAAGTAGCTAACCAGGGCAGTTGAGAACAAATCAATCAACCTCCACTCTATTGCAGTGTTTCTCAACCTTAGCAACTTTTTAAGATAGGCGGACTTGAACTCCCAGAATTCTCCAGCCACTTATGCTGGCTGGGGAATTCTGGGATTTGAAGTGCGCCCGTCTTAAAGTTGCCAAGGCTGAAAACCACTGCGTCTGTAGCATCTTATTTTCTGTTTCTTGCTCCAGGCTTTGTTGCTATTACCAATCCTTTATTGCCTTCTTCTTGGCATCCTGCTTGACTTACCAGATGGTGATAGAATACTTTCCCCCACCCTTTGGAAATATCAACAGAAGCTAAAATGTTAAGCCATAGCTGGAGCTTTGTAGGATGTACTGCTGTGCAGTTAACCCACTTGACTAAACATTGGGGGTGGGGGGGGCGAAGAGAAAGGATGCTATGTTGTCCCACTGGATCTGACAATGTCAGAGCTGACACTGCAGCTGGTTCCTGCCACCACCAATCTTGGCATCTGCTATTTCTGTCTCTGGTAGTCGTTTATGAGAGAGGCCAGGCTTTGAGACTTGAAATGGGAGCCTGAAAAATCAAACTGGTATTCTTAATGAAACAAGTAAGGAAACAAGGCCGAGCAATCTTCTCTCTTCGTAGCACAATGCAGAAGTTTTTTTTTTTTCAAACTTCAAGTTTAAAAAATGCCCAAAGCTTCTGATCAAGAGGCAGAGTTCTAATTGTAGAAAAAGGATTGCATTCATCCTTAGTTTCTGCAGGAATTCCGCAATAGATGGAGCAGATATGGTGCAGTTCATATTTTCCATTCATATTTTGACACAACAAGAAAGCCCTTTCAGCGTTCTGTGGTGTCTTCATGATTGAGTAATTCTATCATTCCTCCTACAGAGAGCTTGTAAAATTGACCATCATTGTGAAAGCAGATGAATTCTTGGATAGAGACAAAGGATACCCAATACACTGGCCTGAGATATTTAATAAAATACGTCAATCGGAAATGGTGCTATCCAATCCTTGGGGTTTTTTTGCCCCTCCAGGGGAATGTCTTTTAAAGTATTCCATAATTATTTGTTGCTATTATTTCTCAAGGCACCACATGCTTGGGATTAATTGCTCATATCCAGATTGACAAAGATGGAACTTGAATTCTGTAACCCGGGTATGTGTTCATCTGAACAGTTATCACTGAGCTGTCTAAATTAAATACTATATTTTCCACACAACAGGGCCCCAGGAATGCCTTTTATGGGGAAAGACTCTCATTTCAGAAACAAAACACTGACTACGGTAGACCTGGGTCAAAAAAGAAATTCCTTGTTTAAAGGCCCAGCCTGCAGCCTGCAGCAAAATATTTTCTTATCATGTCCTTGTTATGCTTACACTGGGTACACGGTTAACTGTGTGCAAATACAGGTACTCCTTGACTTGCCTCCATTCATTGAGCAACCATTTAAAGTTATAACGGCACTGAAAAAAATGATTCAAGGCTGGTTCTCACACTTATGACTGTTGCTACATCTACATGGTCTCGTGTCCAAAATTCAGGAGCTTGGCAAATGGCGTGTATTTAAGATGGCTGCAGAGTCCCAGGCTCATGTGATCACTATTTGCCACCTTCCCAGCCAGCTTCAAACAAGCAAACTCAATGGGGGAAGCTGGATTCACTCACAACTGAATGGTTTACTTAACAACTGCAGTGATTTGTTTAACAAGCATGGAAAAATGTCATAAAATCAGGCACCACTCACTTAACAACTGCCCTGCTTAGCAATGGAAATTCCAGTCTCCAAGTACTACCTGTACACTGGGCAACTCACAAGCTAAGTTACATCAGTTTGGTGGATAATTATATGTCCCTCTAACCCTCCCTTTCCTGTTTCCGTAGTGACTAACAAGCAGCCAACTTGCACAGCTTCCTATTTACTCAGAGTTGCAGGGACATAAATATCTACTCTGCAATGCTTTCTCCCTACACACCACAAAAACTACTTCCAGCCCAGCCCTAAAAAGCAAGATTGTTTCTTAAGCGGCCAGAGCTGCATTAATGTAATTTCTGCTTACACTAATGCATTTTCCCCTATTTATCTCATTTTTGGTTTTATAACTTTGTGACAGGGTACATCTAGCTTTGGGGTGGTGCGGTGGCTCAGCAATTAAGATGCTGAGCTTGTCAGCTGGAAAAGCAGCAGCTCAGGTTTGAGACCCAAGCACCAAGCAACAGGATGAGCTCCCATCCTCGCCCCAGCTCCTACCACCCTA